TACCAGTAGGAGGCCTGAAGTTTCATAGTGATTGTGAACTTGCGTCATAACACAGAGGAGTACAGAACTGTATATGGGAGTCTGGCCAGTGTTGCTGGAGAGATTCATTGTTCAATGTTCTGTTCATGTTGTAGAAACTGTTCACCTGAAGTTTCTACAAGAAGGGATATTAGGTTTCTACTATAGCAGGGAGATTAGGTTTCTATACTAGCTTGAGGCCTGAAGTTTCTACCAGTAGGAGGCCTGAAGTTTCATAGTGATTGTGAACTTGCGTCATAACACAGAGGAGTACAGAACTGTATATGGGAGTCTGGCCAGTGTTGCTGGAGAGATTCATTGTTCAATGTTCTGTTCATNATTTGATATTTAGGAGGCAGTTAGGTAAAGTTAGGTTAGGTCAGGTTATGTTAATTAAAATATATTTGTAACTAACATAACCTGACCTAACCTAACTTTACCTAACCACCTCCCAAAATCAGTTTCAGCAGAATGCAGAAAATAAAATTCACAGTTTCTGGTAGGTTCTTGTGATCATGAACTTGTCCTAAAGATTTGTCTGGATGGTAGTGCAGTCTAGGAATGAGGTACAGAGATAACAGGAAAGTACTGTATTGAATATTACGTTATCTTCCTACTCCTATACAATTCTTCAACATGTAATTTGTATCTGCAAGCATGCGCAGTTCATGAAGTCACTCATTTTCGGCGTTGAGGGATGGAGTGGTAGGGAACAGCCCTCTGGAGGGGGAGCGTGGAAGTGAGTTGCGTGGAGTTTGAAAGTGTACCATAACGTCCGGTCACCTTGCTTGTGTACAAGTGCCGATCTTTTCAGTCCCCGAAGCAAGGATCTGTTCCAGTTCATGCAAACGCCAAATTTGTTGAAGTGGGAGGAACAAATTGTTCCGTGCACACGGGGAGATGGAGAATCAACCGGAGGAGCACCGAGTGTAGGAAATCATGTGAAAATGTTCGGGGATATTTTGAGGGTTGCAACCAAACCAGTGTTGCAATGTGTATCTGGGATTGACTTTTCCGATGATATTTTCATGAGTTCATCCATCTACACGCATACTGGTGAGTGCATGAAACGATATTCACGTTAATATTACATGCATGCTCATATTCATCATTTTAGATACTTTGCTATGCCATGACGACGATCTGGAAGAACGGAGACTTGCATTCATGTTTTATTTAACGCCCCCAGAATGGACTGAGGAAGCTGGAGGGCAATTAGATCTCTTCGAATGTACCGGTTAGCATTTGGATACAATCTTCCATTTTTGGAACATTTCATTCACGTACTCAGTACTGTATTACATATTGTTTCAGATGAAGCCAGCGCTGGGGAAGTTGTGAGATCCTTCCTGCCTAGTGAAACACGTTCCTTTTCTTCCACGCTTCGAATCATTGTTATCATCAGGTGCCGAAAAGAAAGGCGAATATCTTGCCGAATTAGTTTCGAAACGTTTATATCTGTTCTCAGGTTCGAGAAATTTTTTCAAAAACGAAAGTGCGGCTCTCCTTGAACGGTTGGGTTAATGGTGCACCGTTAAAAAGACCACCGCATCCGATCGACGCATTACCATCCTTCGTTCACCCTAGGAATATCTTGGATGAGTTTTTCGAATGGATAAATCCGACTTATTTGAATTCTGAAACAATCGCAAGCCTCCAGGAAAATGTCGAAGAAACTTCCGAAATCCATTGGTACAATTCTTCAATGTGGGCGTGTACGACGAGCTCTGTTCAGCATTTGTATAGCAGCTAATGCTGAAGACTGGCTTGAAAGAGGACCTGCGAACAGGAGAAATTTCCGTATATGGAATCGCTCTGATGCAGATGACGGATTGGGAAGCTGCAAGTGTTCTTCCATTCCGAAGCATTTTTCTTTGCTCTTGTCCCAAGTTCGCCTCCGATTATTTGTCGTTCATTAACTTTCTTGAATGGATATTCAATTTTTTTCTAGTTGACGGGGCTGCAGTTGCATAGAAAAACTGGAGACTCGGCCCCAAGTTCGCCAAAGAAGATCGAAGTAGAAAAAGAATCGTGTGGTATTTATAGCATTCCTTTTTCCCGCGGTGAATTTAATGAGATTATAGCTCAATTCCGAACTGTAGATCCGGGATGTTTCCTGGAAAATCGAGAAATGGAAAACGGAAGCTATAGCTTGCGTTCTGACTTCAGATGAAGATCCCGTTATGAGTTTAGATGCACTGGAGGCATCTGTATTTTTCAGCTCTCCCACTTCGACGGAAGATGATGATGATGAAACGTACGATGGTCCCGGAGGTTTCGTTTCGTATGTTCATCGGTTTGAAACCGATGAGGTGAGTTTAGGCGTTTGATTTCCTCGTTTCTATAAGAAGCATATGCCCTCGCCAATGTTTTCCGTTGGGAATACTATTTTTGATAGGTTATTTCAAACATATGAAGCACAAGAATTTTTTTTACAGTGGCTGTACTACAGTATAGCTGCTGCTAAGGTGCTTCTAACTATAGGTGGACATTTTTCGCGGTTTTTCTTTTAAAAGCACAACTGATGACGTGATCTGTTCTTACACTGTACAGTACTTCAAATACCATGTGCTCTTTGGGAATTAAGATTCTGCAGTTGGTTTGTAAGAACTCATGAAGCTATTTTAGAATATTCTTGAAGCAATGGTTTCCTTGAAGTAGAGGATGATCACTAAATGACTTAAATGTACAACTTTTTCGTAGTTATTCAGTTAATACCCATTTCTAATTCGATGTCAACTCTATGAGCTTGGGTGTGATAGTATGCCTGTTTCTCTTCCGCAACGGTAGTTGGTATGATTGAACCCGATTTCATTAGCGTGTTGTGTTCAATTTTAGGTTTAAACTTCTACCTCGTCGTAGAATTATTTTTCATTCAAGTACGGTAATTTTTCAGCATATTTTAATTTCTCATTTTTTAGCGCCTGACGATTCAATGATGAAAAGGTTTCCAGTTGTTTGATGTAGTCGAGTTTCGTTCGTTTAGATGCTGAGGATTTCCCCAGCTCGAAATACCTTGTCGCTGGTTTATCGCACATCCGATGTGCTGAGATTCACGAAGTATGTGAATTCAAAAATAATCAACATCATGATACCAGGTGCCAAATTTCGGTCTCTACGTTGAAAAGAAACCAAACTGAAATGATCCATGGAGAAAGTGACGGCAGTTGTGTGAAATATGTCGGGTCACGAGTTACATTTTGCTGTGAAAGTCGATGTTGTTTGTTCCAGGCACAGTTTTTTTTACACCTTTTGTGTTGCTTTTCTTTTCCCGTCGTGCGCGATGAGTGACGGAACAATGAACGATGCTGATGATATGGAGGCTCACTGCTCCGTGAGTATTGAATGAAAAGTTTCGCAGCCATGCGTTTTGAACGCTTCTTTTTTCTGAAGGAGGTGCTTCGAAAAGCCAAAGCTTTGATTCAAGCCTCGCAAAAGCTTCCGAAGCCAGATTCTAGCGAATGGGAGTATTATGCTGGTTTCCCGGATTTCGTGAAAACTCTCCACGTGGAATGCAATGTTCTACTTTCTACGTGAGTGACTCGATAGCGCTGAGCGTGAATGAAGAGGTCCAGCAATCTTCTAGTTTTTATACTGTAGTAGTGAAATGTTATTTGTACAGGATTGATTACAGAGCATTGCCCTTCCTCAAATTTACAGGATGAATATGCTCATGAGTCATCACAACGCTTGCTCTTCAGATATTCGTACGCCATATGCAGATCTTGACAAGTACGAAATAATTTCCACATTTGCGTCGTCTGTTATCGATGATACTGTGAGTTCTAATTGCAATAAAATCGGTCGTTTCATTTTTTGTATGAAAATCGTGATGAGAACGCTTATCTTCTGAATTTCAGATTGAGTGCCTTACCACAGCGGACAAAGCGTTGGTTCGATCCAAGTTTGCGTCGAAAGAAGAGGAGAAAAAGGCGAAAACTATTACGAAAACGCCGAGCCCCGCAGTTCACAGACGATCTATGAGTATGATCAAACCGCAGTTATTTTTTTCCAAGAAGCCCAATAATGATCCGAAAGGAGAGTTTGTACCAATTTTGACTTCGAAGCCACACAGCGTGATTCCGTTGCAAGACAGTTTGGTGAAGATCACAGATGATGACGGACAGGTCAAGTAAGTGTGAAAATCCTCCCTGATTGTGTCTTGATGGATGTTCACGGTAGTGTTGCGGCTATCCGGCAATTGATTATAAACCTACATTTTGGGTATTGTTCAATAGGTATGGTACTTCACAAACTTTTTTTTGAACCAGTATATAGATGTTACGAGAAGACTGGGTGGCATGGAGTTGGGCCATGGGTGCTGGTTCCGGATCACAAAGACTACGGCAGAGTAAATTCAGTTGTGAATCTTCCGCAGAAGTTGGCTCCAATATAGCTAGACTGTACACCAATTTTCAAAGTTGCAGGAAACTGTGGGTGTCAGATTTGCAATTGTGCGAACTTTTATTCCATTCACTACGAGAGCCAGTAAATAGGATGTTATAACGCCACGTGAGGTTGCTGCAAGTTAGCTCAAAAAAATCCTGCAGAGCTTTTAGTCTGTTCAAGAGTGAATACTCATGTATGTCTAAAAAATATTGGACGAGTGAATTAAATTGAAAATCACCCAATATCCACCGGGGGTGTGTAAAATTGCCAAGTTCAGACACCTTCAAATTGAGAAGTTCAAGAGGTAGACAATCCTGAAATTCGACCTTGAAATTTAATACCCCTTTCCCTTTGTTGCCAACCGGAGTCAGGGAAACCCATGCTGAAAACATGTTTGCCAAGAACTGGCCAGCAACCCAGAAAGGGTAACGAACACCATCTGAATCACCACCAGCTGTGCGCAGCTGCACGAGGGGTGATCTGTTCAAGACAGAACAATTTTTTGCTTCTTTACGCGGAACCATCTCAGATTACAAACTCCCTTTACAAAATCTTCGAACAGGATGCCGAAAAAACAAGCACCCTGTTAAGATAACTTCCAATGGTCATTAGAGCTTGAAACATGTTGTCAAGAGGTTGATGCATTGAAATTCATCAGCATGCAAAATTATTTGCCAGTAGGATTTCCCATTTTTTAGTAACTTTTCAGTCTTTATATGAGAGGTCCTGGCTTTTAATGTAATGAGTTCAAGCTTCAATGCAAATAAACACCAGTCCCATTTCGCATTTTCACGAGTAATTTCAACGCAATGGTGGATTCTTGAAGCAAACGCGTGAATGTTGGTTTTGGTACTTATATTCAAGTTGAACTTGAAACAGTCTGTTTTGCTGATAATTTTGTAGTTACCTGCTTTTCCCTTCGATATTTTCATGTAAGCGTAAGGTGTACGAGGATTTTTGTGTGTTCGATTGAGTTACGCTCGACATTCCGGTCATTCGATAATTTTTCCAATAGGTATAGACATCCTTACGAAGCGGAACTAAGTTGTTGGGAACCCAAGAAGAACGACTTGTCCGGATCGCAGTTGTCAGACGAAGAACGGAAGAAATTACTAGTTGATATCGACGAAACTGCGTTTGAGTACGTCGATGATGCTTCGCGCGTTCCTGAAATTGTGTCGGAACTCAAGGAACATTCCATTGTCGGCTTTGACGTGGAGCACCACAACTATCGTAGCTTCCAAGGAATTACCTGCTTGTTGCAAATTTCGGTTACGGGAAAGGATTACGTGATTGACACGATCAAATTGAGGGATCACTTACAGGTGAGGATTGGATTTTATCTGGTGAAAGAGAAAAGTTTAAGATCTTCCCAAGTATTATGCAGTAGAGGATTTTCTTTCTTCTTGAAGTTTGTACAGTAAATTTACGCGGAAGGAAATATTAGAAGAAATGTCGATAGGATGGATTTTCTGAAGAATTATCTTTTACTTAGTATCATTCTGTTCATTTTTTGTCGCCTTGGATCGCCAGAACCGAATCAATGCATGTGTGGATACGCCCACCCTATGTGCCGCCACCCTCGGTAACCTTCAATTCATTTTTAGAAAAACAAATCGTCCGTGATTGGAGAAGTATTGGAAACCCCATTAGAACGCCATTTGCCAAAATTATTACCTCCTGCCGATTAATTTTGTATTCGATAGCCGGCCAAGATTAAAGTTTCTGCAAGAGATCTTCAATCGAAAGAAACTTGAACATGAAGATGGCATGATTTACTTCTTGAGAACATTAGCTAGATATCATTTACGCATCCCAGGGTTATTTTTATTGTTTTTCGGAAGAATAAGATTTTTTATTTCCTGTAATATTCAGTTTTTATATCATGTTTTCATTTCTGATGAACCAACAACCCCGTTGAACCGCCACAAACCTCACAGAGAAATGATGGCTGCTTATCGAGGTTTGGCTGTATTAATGTACCCGACTTTGCTGCTCTTTTCTACTAGCCCCTGAACGAAGTGTTCACTCACCCGCGGATTTTGAAAGTCGCTCATGGCGCTAACTCCGACATCATATGGCTTCAACGAGACTTGGGCATTTACATAGTCAACCTTTTCGACACTCACGAAGCCGCAGTGCTTCTTGATATGCCTCGTCGCGGGCTTGCAGCATTGTTGAGCACTTATTGCGGCATCGAGGCTGAAAAGCAATATCAGACTGCTGACTGGCGAGTAAGACCTCTTTCTGAAGAGTTGATCAGATACGCGAGACGTGACACGAGGTTTCTGGAGTACCTGTATTGGACGTTGAGAGAAGCTCTGATTGATGCAGGAAACGCGTCGCGAAACCTCCTCAGGTAACTTTGAAACCCCAGTTATCTATTGTGAATTTTATCTTGCAGAATTTTGCTACAAAAAATAGTCCGCGAATTGAACCACCGCAGAGGAAATAAAGATTTCATTTTTACGGTATGGATTATGTATTTGGTTTTGCAGGGCTGTGTTTGAAAGAAGCCGAGAAATATGCTTGTTGACTTACGAAAAGCCTGAGGTATTTGGACAAGCTTACGCAATGCTGGAATCTAAGTGCAAAGCTGTGTTTGATGTCCGACAAATGTCAGCATTGAAGAATTTGTACGAATGGCGAGACACGATTGCGAGGAGAGAAGATGAAAGCGTCCAGTGAGTAGTTACGAACAGCGTGGGGGAGAATTTTCACAATCATTTTATTCTTCTAGCTACGTCCTTCCAACTCACATGTTGCAAAAAATCGCTGAAAATTTGCCGCGTGAGATGCAAGCCATCTTTCTTTGTTGCAATCCAACGCCGCAGTTGGTCAAGGTGAATCTGTTGGGCATTCATGAGATCGTACTTCGGGCTCGCCAGATTGCCATTGATACGGTAATATCTTATTGTCTTCATTGTCAAGTTTTCGAATTTTTAAGACTTATATTTTTAACTTGAAGGCTTTCGAAAAGCGGAAACGCCAATCTGGGACCGAAGATGATGAGGTTCCGGAAACTTTGAACGATACTTTGAGTAAATTAACAATACGTCGCAACACGCCCGTACTATTTCATGCGGCTCCGCTGAAGTGTCGTTTGTCACTAGAAAAATCTGTTTGTGACCGGTGGAATTCACCACCGTGTCTCCTAGATGAAAACCCAGCGACTGGACAGTTGTTGCTGAATGAATCTTACACTGAATCACCAAGAACTGCGCAAGTGAAGGAAGTGCAGAACAGGGAAGCGGTGAATAATGATCGACAGATGCCGAGACTTCTGACACCGTTTCAGCGTTACATGGCAATTTTGCCGCTTACTCGTGGCGATTTGGCGCATGCTGACGGGGAACTGAGCGTCAAAGTCGCTAAAGTATGTGTAATTCAAAATAAAATTGTTTCAAGTGTTGGTACTCCATGAAATTATCTTTTGAAGTTGCGTGATCGTCTGGCTAAAATCAACGACGCGTCGTTGGCAGCAGAGAGCCAAGAAAAGCGGAACGAGGAGGATTTGGAGATTCTAGAACCTGAAAAGGTCGCTGATCTTAGCAAAATCTATGGTCCGGGGAGCAAAAAGTTTGGCGCAAAAGGAGTGAAAACGGAATTCGGTGACCCATCGTTGATATCTGAAGAACAAGAGACGGATCATGTGGCTGTTGTTCGAGAAGAAACTGGTGTCAGAGTAAGTTTTTGTGCGAGATATTCTATGGAAGTTTCAATAGCCTTGCCGACTGTCATTTCATGGATATCGTGGCAATAATTAACAGTCGATCAAATTGATGGCAATGAAATCAACGAATCTAGCATTTCAAATGACAATGTGCGAATTTAAAACTGAAATTTGAGATACTGTTTTTACTCGAGTACCATGCGCATTTTTTTTTCTCTGCAAAATTAAGGACAGAGAAGTGGTGTGAGGAATACATTTTTTGAAGCAAAATAATATGAAATCATTTGTGTGAGCCCAAAGTGATTTCTTTGTAGTGAAAATAATGAGCTGTTTAGCTCAAATCCAGGTAAAATGCACTACCTGATTAGTTATCGATGGGATTTTTTTGTAAAAAATTTTCATATTCAAAATTTGCTATTTTCAACCATGTATAACTGGGGTTCGTTATTTATGCGGGGATACATTTTTGTGACGAGTTGAGGTTCGAAAAATAAGGTTTCTTGTCGTACTTGATGCTACGTGGTACTCAAGGAAATACGGTGGTTGGCTATTCCGAAAGATACATTTTGTAATTGATTTACTACAGTAGTACAGTAAAATTTTAATGGCAATCTCTGTTCGAAAATTTTCAGATTCACGTGCGACGAGGGAAAAAGAGGAAGAGTTATGTGAAAACCGAAGGTGTGGAAGCTACCGAGTTGAAGACGTCTCCGGTCGTCGTTGGTCCGAGTGATGGATCAGAAGAAAGTGTTCCGCCTGCGAAGTCCCCCCGAATCGATGATTTCTCAGTTTTCGACGAGAAAAAATCTCGTAAGACGGATGGTGTCGACTCTCAGCCGGTGCACCTATTCAAGAAAGGGAAGAAAGCTGGCAAAGAAGTCAAGCGCCGAGGTTTGCCGCCAGATCGCAGGCAGAAAACTTTAACTTATTCGACGAGCCACGATCGGAACCGGAAATGAAATTTTAAGATCGTTCTGCGATAATTTTTGTGATTACGTGAAAATCATTCATCCCATTGAATAATTTGGTAGTGTGTCTTTCAATTGTTGAATGTTTCTTCACATTTTTGTGTTGTTGATTCGTGTTCCAACAGGTAACGAGCTCCCCGTTTTCTTCTCCTGGGGATGGACATTCTCGCTGTCCGCAACTCGTCCTCCTAAACTGTTCCGAGTGAGAACAATTACGATGGTGTCGGTGCAAGTCGAGTTTCGTCGCGTATGGCATCGCGTTTCTTCTCTTTCCGATCTTTCGTTTACCTGCATGGCCAGGATGTTCGTAGGCCTCGTATTTTGTACTGCCTGTATAGCTCTTGTCCTGTTGGACGCGAAGATACTTGCTGATGCGGGCGAAAAAGTAGAGACAGCCGAAGGAGAGGATCCTTCAGCGGAAAAAACGTTGGTGTACCACAGTGAGCAGACTTTTGCCGTGCTGAAAGTTGGACCTGCAAATGAACTTCATAATTGCTCTTTGATAGAGGCGATGTGAGTGTGAATATCGTGTGAATACCTGAGGTCTCTTGGGGCAAAGAATGCCGTATATGATCAAAGCGACGCCAAAAGATTATCTAAATTTGATGTTGCATCCGAAGTATCAGGCGATAACGGACATTTTGATATGTATGAAGAAATGTAAACTGACAATTTTTTTCGGCGATACGTTCGTCATTTGCTTTCCTGCTGTACATTCGTCGGTTTTCGAGAATACATCATAGTATTCTCATGATTCCGGTATGAATCGTCATACTGCATAAAAACTAAAAGCTATTTATTGTTATTTTGTTGAGTCATTATTTCATTTTTAAACCGATTTATCTAGTGCGGTAATGAGGTTTTCTTGAGTCTTCAGAAATTACTTGGAAGGTTTATGTGTTCTGTCCTGCGTAAAAATTTTCTCCCCGATCTTATCACGAACCTCGGTTTTTTTTATTGGCAATTCCTGTTAGAAATGGCTCCTGATTTCCTTTTCAGCGTTTCAGATTGACACGTTTGCGAACGTGTTCCACACGATCCAATCCACCAAGTGTTAGCGGGACTAAATGTGTTTATTTGAGATTGAAATCGATCTTGAGTTCAGCGTTTGAAGACGGACACAAAAGCAGCAGTTCTATGCTCATCTCCCACCGCGTAATGAAACTCTGAAAGTTATCCTTGGAGGAGTTTGAATAGATCCAACTTAGATGTGTAGAGCAGTTGGCCTTAGAAAGCTCAACTGTATGGTTCAATGCGAACTTGATTGCAAATGTTTCACATGTGTTCCCTTGTGAAGTGTAATTTGTTGTCGTTGAAGAAACAATACATTTTCCTGTATGACATGTCATCCTTGAAAATCTCGAGCTTTGCAGCGCTTTGAAGATGGTCCTGTTCTCATGAACCCTGTGTAGGAGATGTGTTGATCTGTCTGTGTTTTGTAGTGAAGAAGAGGAAATCGCTCGCACTTTGGCAGACTTGCTGCTGAATCATGTCGTTCAGCCGATATCTTTCGACGACATGTTGAATATGATGACAGCTTGCCGGAATCTCTCTGTTGAAAAGCTTTCGAAAGAGCGGGTCACTCCCGCTTCTGTAACTACGACCAAATCTCCTGTAAGACCTCTTGTGATACGGGAAGCGATAATGAGAGGCCCTTTGACGCTAATTCGTGGAATTTTGCCAGGTTTGTGTTGAATGTTCTCTGCTTTTTAAATGTAGAAGTCTTGATACAGTCGAATCTCTCTAAGTCAAACTTCACGGGACCACCAAAAAATTCGAGTTGAGGAAAAATTCAATTTTCATGAGGAAAGAAGGAATAATTACTGGAAATTTCAATTGGTGATATTCTGAGCCTTAAATTGCTTTTTGAAGGAGTAGACATGATGCTGAACTTGGAGGCAAAGGTTTGTTTGCCCCATTAGTCTTTCACTTCCCTTCAAAAGACATTGTTACTTTTTTATTTCTTTTCTCTTTCCTGTGTCAATAAAATAATAGGAAGAAGGCCTCCAGAAATTTCGAGTACTGGAAGTTTGAGAGGGAACGCCTTCAGGTTAGGGAGATTTTTGAATACATCGGAATAAATGGGGGAATTCAGGCAGGGACTTCAGAAAAAAGGGCATAGGGAGGAGTTCGACTGAGGTAGGTTCGAGTTATCGAGGTGCAACTGTATTTTTTCCATTTTCTTACTAGGTACCAAGTGGTGTGGGAATGGTGACATCGCCGAAACGTATCAGGATCTGGGTGAAGAATGGGACATCGACACGTGTTGTCGAGAGCATGACCATTGTCCTGTCAAAGTTCGGGCGTTTGGGAGCCGGTATGGCTATTTCAACGCTGGTGTCTACACGAAGTGAGCAATCCGTTTATTTGCCAACAAGTGAAAGCAGCTACAAAGCCTTCTCTAACTTCAATCGATTCCCTCTTTCGCGATGTAACTTCTTATTTTTATCGAAGTATGAAGAATCGAAATACTGCATTTACTCATGACCCGCACTGGAGTTTTTGTTCTCTAAAAATGAAAAATATTGTGGAATCTTGAAGATTATGTGTGGGTTTCTTATTTATCGCCGCATTGAAGGTTTGTCTTTCCTGTTCATCATTGTCTACAGTAGCAGTTAAATTGTGCTTAAATATATTTTCCTCAATCAGGCAAATCTTCCTTTTTCCCCGTTCCACTTGAGTCACCGAATGAAATGATTATTTCTTTAACCATTACTCGTCATTGGGAAGGAAGGAATGGTATTGTGCATTTCCTCTTGATGTTCTTGTTTTTTTTTTAGTTGGGTCTTGTTTCCCAGATTTTCCCGTTGAAAATGTATGCTCAAGTACCCCTTTTTCCATAACTTGAGGAAAAAAAGGTAGGGTGCGCGTGGTACTAGAAACCATCCGGTGTGTGGATTTTGACTCCTGCTTTTTCGAGTCAAGTTTTTTTTATTTGTACTAGCAGATGAGGTTTTCTAGGTACTGATGTCGCAATCTCATTTGTTCAGATCTCATTGCGACTGCGATTCTCGATTCAATGCTTGCCTGAAATCCGTGAACACCTCAATTTCAAACATTTTGGGACAGACGTACTTCGACGTGTTGAGGGTGCAGTGCGTGATGCATCATGATCGTATGGAAAATGGAACTTTGACCGTGAAAGACGGAGAAACGATGAGGTATGTGACGACTCGAAATGGGGTGTCCGAAACTGCGAACAATGGCGAAGTCAGTAACAGAATCTGGCTTTTTGGAAAGTGAGATAATGAATCAAAAAGTGGTGCTGTGTAAATTTTTAAAATTGGTTTGCAAAGTCGATCTGTTTTGGCCTTGTGTGCGTAACGTAGATGAAGTCTTGATCGAACCGCAATAATTCCTCCGGGAATATTCGTGCAGAAATCGAACTTTTGTTTCACTGCTTCCATTCCGAGCCTTATGAACACAATATTTTTATATTTTTTATTCAGATAGATTTGTTTTCTGTACGAACATAGAAAACGCGATTTACGAGTATTCGTAGAAAAGTGATCTGTTGTGTATTTCACTACATTTGACAGGTCTTGCCGAAGAAAAACATTGTGATTTGACAGACTAGCCGATTTTTCTGGAAAGCAAAGAAAAATGTTCTTCCTACGAATCGTTGAAAGACAAAATGAAACGATACTCTCTAGTTTGTTACCGTGTGATGGGTTGTTTTAGAATGCGAATAGTATTTATATAGAAACGGATTTGCCAAGTTGTTTGAAATGAAATGGTTACCGTGTTTGAGAGGTTTTAAGTTTTTGTTTTTGAGCCGTGTGAAGAGCGGTTTCAATGACTCTTGCCGTTGATTGGTGTATTGATGCACAAGATTGGGTTGTAGAATACATTGGGATGTTTGAAATTAATTCTTTCCGATTTTCTTCAGAACTTGACAAATTTCTGGAACTTCGCTTACCATTCGAGCATGTTAGACACAGTTACATGTCTGAAAGGATCTTTGCCCTCTTTTCTAAATGCACTTCCGAGTAAGACGTATGCTTTTTAATCCGAGGACGATCGTAATTCGTAAGGAAAGTGACTACATAATGGCTGAAAGGCTGAGATCTCACTGAATCTGGACTTTTGTAATCCAACACAATGAGCGATTTTTTCGATATCAAATCATCAAGACCGAGAGTGTTAATTTGACGGAGTTTATTTATTGTTACAATATAGAATTATTGATGCTTGCATCTTTGACGCTTACTCTTTCCAAGTACAGTGTACTCACACGACCCACAGTATCGTAGTATCGTGAATTGTATTTTTTTAGTGCACCAGTATTTTGAAAAAAAAAACGCATTCGATATTTTTGGTGCTAATTTAATTTATCGACTTGGCTATGTGTGAGATGCAAGAGCTCTCAATTGCGAACCTCAAACATTTCTACCGACGGACTTTCCCTCAACAGCTTGCCTTCTCCGGATTTTTTCGTATTTGTAACATACGTATTCAGCAGTGAAAAGCAGACTTCCGACTAAGCAACCCGCTCCCCAAACGAAAAAATGTCCTTGCATGTCGTTCAAGTTCAAGGGCCTGATGCCGGCGTCGTTTCCTGCGTTGTCTGGCCGGGACGAGTAGGTCTCGTACCAGTGATGAAAGAAACCCGCTGCCGCCATGTCTGCCAAGTACTCGTCGAAGGTCTCCCGTAGCGGCGAACCCTTCGGGAAGCCGAGGCCCATTGGCCTGGCGTAGAATGTCTGCTTCGTCACGGACAAAACGCGTTCGTCGGGGTAGACCAGTTTTGCCTTGGCTGCGAGCCGTCGGGAGCAGGCCACGCTGCAGACGTAGCCGAAACGGCCGCGACGGAACTGTTCGATCGAATCTTCGTCTCGCGGCAGCAGTTCGAGTTTGTTGAAGAAGACGGCGAATGAGGGAGATTTCTGGGCAGATAGTTGGACGAACGAATACGGGGATCCCTTCGATGCTTCCATTCCGTACCTTTTAAATGAGAAAGACGATGTTATATCTGCGCATCCTAGATCCTCGATAGCTGAGCGGAAACATTCACGAACAGGGAAACACGAATGTTAGCGGTCAAACCTCTCGAAGTCAAATTTCAAGGGATTTTTTTATTATTGATGTTTCATGTTAGGTGAATGAGAACTTGTGTTATGGGAAACGGAAGAATCACATGAAATTGAAATTTGTGATATTCTGGGCCTTAAATTGCTTCTTAAATGAGTTGACAGGATGCTAACTACTACTACTTGGAGGTAAGGGTTCATTTTCCCAATTAGTTGTCCACTTCTTTTTGAAACACATCCTTACTCTTTACTTGTCAAGAAAATAATAGCCATTGATTTCGAGATTTCAACAAAATTAGAATTCATTTTCTATTGACAACAATCCTTCGTTGAAATTTAAAAATAAATTTCTATAAAAATCAAATATTATGAGCACCTGAACTTTCAAGCATTTCAAAGAAATGTAAACCCTCTTATGACGTGCACCGTCTGTTTCCCACTTCTTTTCGAAAAAAAAAGTGCGCGTGGTTCTTAAGTGAATACAGTAGATTAATTTAGCTAATTTTTTCAATCTTCTTTTCTTAATTTCACTAGAAATGGATTTATAGAAGGAACGAGTACGGAATTTCGGGATAAAATCAGGGGTGCGGATCCGATTTTTGCGAAAATTGTGTCCCAAAAACAGTAGCGCTCGTCTTAGTCGAGCGCACGTGGTGCTCGGGTAAAAAGGACAAGTTGTGCCAGAGCATCTAAAATCAGGAATCGGTAAGCTCAGATGAAAAAAAATGTGTGTCTTCAAGTACAAGACGAAATCTCCGCAGAAAAGGGTCCACTGGTATTCTGGGCAATCTTTCCTCCACAGAGTAATATCTTACGAAGTGGCTTACACCCTTCTCATCCGCAACTCAGAGCGAACTCATTAGATGTCTCATTACTTGATTTTTCGCGCCAGTTTAGCATGGCGAGAGCAACTTCGAAGTTTTGTTGCAAAAGATAAAAGACGCATGGATTATCCTTCTCAATATTAAATATTACTTAAGAATGCATCTTACGCGGTTGAATCGCGAAAAAACGTGACGGAATCAAAATGCAGGAGTGGCAAATCATGCGGCAACGGTCTTCAGAAGAAGTTTTTCAATTTTCACTGTAGTGAGCATTGCAAAGGTAATCGAATGTATTTCTTATTGAAGGCGGCAGCTTTTATTTTATCGTTCAGGAAAGATCACATGCTTGGAAATTTGCGAACTTTTTCTGGTCCTCTTCGTACAACTCCACCCAGTTGGACGAGTGTCTGAACAAGATTCATTAAGGAAGTGTTTGGTTCTTGATCATGTGTTAAATCTACGCACCTGTATCCTCCTGTGGCCACCATTTCATCCATATTTTTGACATCAATTGGACTCGGAGGTACGGCTTGTAAAGCAAGGAAAAGGGCGGTGTAATAAGTTGACAGGAGGATGGCTGCTATTCCCCAAGCGCTCATAAAAATCCGCGTGCTTTGATCGGGCACGGGCCTTTCGATGGATGATTGCTGTACCAAAATGGAGAATGAGTCGAAGAAGGTGAATTTCTTGCAGGTGAATGCCATGACAGCTACGACAGCCAGAGTCGCCAGGATCACCAACCACACTTCCAATTGAAATGGAATGAAGATGATGAGGAAGCCGGGGATTGATGAGCCGGCCGACACTATGAGAGTGAGCGGCTCAATTGCGAACAGAGCTGAATAATCCAGAACCTTGACACGATAATTGCAAAATCATGTGGCCGATTTTTGACGATTATTTTTTTTGTTTTTGATCGCTGACCTTCAGCCGAGACGGAGTGCGGGAAAGAAGGCACGAAACATCTCCAAGTTTCCGAGATACTTCTCCGACGATTCCATCCCACGTTCCGTTTGACAGCTCGTTGCCCCATTGACCGTCAGCGGGACGTCGAACAGTGACGTTGAAATTCATTTTTGAGCCCATCATTAAGAACAACTATATCGGGTTTGTTCGTCGATCATATTCATTAACGTGTTGATTCTGGATTCTTTGAATTATAATGTAGTTACCACGATACAGTACTCCTCTACATAGAGCAGAGATTGCGACAAATAGCGGGTTAACCAAAGTTGGAATTGTTGATTTGAGAGACGAACTTGAAATAGAGTTCGATTATCCTTCACGTCAAGAAAAGCAATCCTTAAAACACGAATTCGTTGACAAAAATGGATTTTTGTGCGAGCGTATAATCTCCAGGGTTAAAAAATCGCGCCAGAAGATTTTTTATCTAAGCCTGTTGATTTTCGGCAACTCTGTTTAAAAAAATACATTATTTTAATTGCATTTCGCTGGAATTTTGCTACATTTTGCAGGTCATGTTTAGTTTGGATAGCACTTCTGTAGGGTGAAATACAATTTTGACAAGAGAAGGGGTCACCCAAAGTTTTGATTCGCGGAGCCCTTGTTCTTGAATTTATTAACATGGCAGTGCATTTCTGAATTTTTTTCTCGTGACACGATTTTTGGAAATGTAGCCTGAATTTTTCTCAACTTCTTGTGCTTATCACCATTCCGTTCACGCGAAAAATTCGTGTAATTTTTCAGTCATATCTTCTCTTTTCTATGCTTCTTTTCTTTGAGCAGCTGCCGCACAGCACCAGTCGAAAAAGAATGGATCAGACTTTTCATGATTACGTATTTACTGAAAAATACTCCAGATACAGTATTGTATTCATAAAACATGGTCGGACGTCAAAAAGGAAAAGACCACCTCGGTAAAATTCGGGAAGTTGCCAATGTTGAAAAACGTGATCTACTCAGAAAACAGCTTACCTGCCCACAAACATTGTTCGTCGAAAGTTTCGGCTTGAGTGGATCTCCGCCTGGAACGAAAGAGGTGTAAGGAGGGAAATCGTCAGTGATCATGACGATGTTCCTCTCCTTTAAGTTCCGTTCCCCGCGGAACTCGAGATCCATGCTTCCGGCTTCGAAACCTGCCACAGGATCCCAGCGATTGACTCGTCTCCATCCGGGGAACCCATTATTGCAGAACTTGCACTTCTTCCGCATCACGAAGCCGTTATCTGTGTCGTTCATCGTTGCCAATGCTATCCTGTGGTTATCTTCGAAAGATTTGTGCAGAAAGAACTTGTCCACGTCCGACGTGTACGTGAACTCTTTCTCGTAGAGGAATATGATGGTTAGCCTCGGTTGTCTCTGATCCTCTACGATGAATTTGGAGCCGAGTAACGTGTCCGGAGTGAAGTTGCCGACGAAGATGAGAAGTCTCGGAGCGATGTTGAGGTTTGCTCCTGCCGTGGTTCCGAGTTGAGAGGAGTAAGCAATGGCCGAGTCGTTCTGGAAAAGAGCTGCTGGCAACTGAACCACGTCACGTCGTCCAAGCACGTCGGTCAGGGCGGAGTGGAAAACGATGTAAGCTTTGTGTTTCCCCACATTGCTAAGAACAGCATTCAGGAAGTCAATTGTTGAAGTCTTAAGATCCGGGGCTTTGAGCTCAATATCTGAACTCGCGGATCTCAGATTAGCTGAGCAGCATAACCTGTGGATTACTCCAACTTCATTCCAGCTCAGTTTTAGGCATGTGCATGTAACAGATTTGAAGATTTCTGGTGGAAAAAGTTTCGATGGGCAACGTAGCTCTTTTTTCTTCCGGGTAAGGCAAATTACGTACGAATTCTCGTGCGAGCGTTGCATTCTGAGTGGTTACAACTTACAAGCATGTCTCACTTCGTTTAAAAGTAGTTTGCCACATTAGAAAATGTATCCATGAATGAACGCAAAGTTTTTAAATTCTGAGAACTTTGGTTTCGGTTCAGGCACTTTATTTTTATGTACCGTAATTGACTTCGGTTTTTGAAGTACATCGGAGCGTACAGTCTTGGTAATTTTTCTTCTATCTGTTTTAGTCAGAAAAACAGCGAAATGCTTGCATGCAGAGAATGGACACTGCAAGATTTACTGGATCCGATGCACAACAGAAGCGGGATCATTCTTGAACGCTTGGAAGAGTTGCGATCTGCATGATAAATTGAATGGATGCTGTATTTTAAAAAGCTGAAAAATATGTTATTCGGAAGAAATTTCTTGTTTCACACAATTTTCAATTCTAACTACGTGTACATTGTACCCAGCTTTAAAGAAATGTTACCTATTTTTAACAAAAAAAAGCACTTCAATTCATTTCATCGAAGAAAAAAAAAATGGCCGGCAAATTTGGAAGCATTAGTCGTCAGTAGATTCCCCCTTCAATGTATGCCCACTTAAAAAAAATTCTCAAATTTAGTATCCTTAAATTTAGAATACGTACAATGATGACTGAAAAATGGTATTTATTTACGCGCAGAATTTTTGCAGAAACCTCAGTAATACTCCTCGTGCTTCTGTTCTGGGTGCAAAATTTCAAGAAGAAAACAACCTCAAATGCCTCAGATCAAAATTTTGTTCACTTGGATGGGTTCAAGGAAAGTTCGAAGGACAATCCTCGGAGTTTTAAATTGCGACTTTTTAATTGCAGCTAGTCGTCTAAGTTTGGGCGCTGTGCCGTGCTGTGTTATACAAATTTCCCCAGGTTTCCGATAATTTTTACACTTAGCAACCTATTTCAGACTTCGTATCAAAGTAATTGGGTGGACTCCTCCTTATTGAGGCGATTTTTTTTCGTAAAAAAAAGGATTACCTCACTAAGATTAAGAATGAAATTTCTACGCTGAAAACGTTCAAAATCAGAATAGTGAAGAGATTTTTTTTTGTCGATGCAAATTACGCGTCGAGTTATTCGTGAAGCCAAATCGCTGTGAAAAATTTTGCATTTGCATGTGTGCGTAAGAAGTTTTGTCCAAATGTTGCGCTTCCCAAGGAATTCTGATACCCTTAAAAATTGAAAGAAAAAAAAAAATTTTCCATTATGATGTTTTAAGAATTTTGTAATTCTTTTCACATTTTAAGACATTTTTTCAAGACAATGTACTGTACAATGAAAAGTGAAAACTTTTCTGTTACAGCCCAAATTTCCCACTCATTTCACAGAGCTGATAATTCGTTATGAGAGTTTAAAAATTGAAATTTTATTGTTGTGTTGGTGACGAAATAACCATAAAACGCCACGTAAAAAGTAACTCCGCATGCCAAACACCAAAGGTTCTCAACTAGCACGGCTGTGTGAGAATCAATCATACAAACCAGAATACAATGAATACAATCAATCCCATGGTCTGCTCTTCACTGTTCACGGCGGCAACTGTTCAACTGAAAGTGTCTTGAGAGCATAGCTTCTTATTCTTGAGCAATGCTCAGGGTTATGCAGTATTTATTCACGGACAGCATTTGTTCAGCTGTGATCAAAACGCTGTTGCATTGCTAATTCATTACCAGACGAAATGCTTCGCAAACACGTTAGGGGAGCGTTTGTGGCTTATTCTGCAGTCAAAAGATGCGTTTTTCCGAGTTTCCTTGCGTTAAATATCTAATGGGATCATTTTGGGGTGGGCGATCAAAGAAATAATCGCGCGGAAATTATGATCGATTTTATTGAATGTCAGTTGTAATAAGCTATGCTCCTGCTCCCGAAAAACCAGTATTTTCCACCGAATTGAATTTGGCTACGTGGCATATGAAATTCATCGACACGAATCAAACGAGTAAATTCAGTTACTCAAAATTCATTAATAGCTAATGAAGAAAACTTACATTGATGCGAAAGAATGAAATTCTGTATTGAAGCTGCGAAGACCGTCGTGGAACTTGAAAAATGAGTGAGGTAGCACCACCACTAATTGGAAGCAATTTATAAAGCGCCCAAATGTACTTTTAAGGAAACAGGACCACACTACAAATTCCGACAAAAACTCAACAGCTTGCCCATGGTTTGCTTGCTGATATCACGAACTTATCAGACCTTTCAATGGATGTTCAGGATGAGCTTCTAACCTGCAACACACCGAAAATAGATATAAAGACGAATTCGGCAAATCATAACTCCAATTTCCTCACCCCGGGGGCATTTTGAACTGAAACGATCTGCCTGCCTCCCCTTTGTCTAAACAATCAAGTTCATTCAATTCCGTCGGCGTCAGTTCGAAGTCAAAGATCTGTGAATTAAATTCCAACGCGTTCAATTCACACCAATTACACAACGTGATGAGAAAATATGCGAGCAAACCTGGATGTTCTCGATTATGCGTGCCGGCGTAACTGATTTCGGAATCACGACTACACCCTGTTGGGTCAAATGTCTCAGTAGAATTTGTGCACAGGTTCTCCCGTGTTTCTCGGCAATTCCTCTAACGACTTTGTGACTCAGAAGGTCCACTGGAATCGTCGCAACTCTGTCCCGAACCCATCACAGTTGAAATCACCCACTTTCTGCTAGCGATGAATTGAAAACAGGAAACTCACGATACATTGTTTTTTGTGTAAAGCTGAAAGCGTCCCGGAGAACCGAGTGGTCCGTATGCACACACAGTTATGCCGCGTTCTTCGCACATTCGGCGAAGTTCTTTCTGTTGAAGATACGCGTGAATTTCGACCTGAAGATTTGCCGGGGGAATTTCACAGTTGTCGAGAATCCTCCGAATCTGTCCGACATTAAAATTGCTCAGGCCGATCGCTTTTGCTTTTCCTTGCTTCACCTGATCTTCCATAGCCTGCGATACAGAGTTATGTTATGATCATAAGCAAGAAGACCCGAAAATGGTTTCAAATACCAAGACAAAAATCATGTGGCACGAAAGAACATTTGGTGTAATTTGTAGACATTACCCGGGATAAGGAAATAATCTTGAGAATCGCCTGGAAAACAAACAATTGTGACATGTAATCCAGTGAAGGACATTGAACGACAGCACAAGGAACTTGAAACAGTACAGTATTTGGTACAACGTGCAGAAAAACGTTTAAGACGGTCAGAAGGTTGTAAGCCAAATGATAAAATTCAGTTCGCCGTTATTTAAATCACTAATTGCTCTATCGACGTTGGATGACAGTGGTCGTTACCAAGGGATTACATTTCTGCACTGGGGTTCCTTCTACTGAATTCGATTTTCATCTTGGTGCCTCTCGAGATTAGCATCTCTGCAGAAAAACGCATACTCATTTAATACCCCCTTTTTCAAATTTCAACCGTTCTAAAACCTTCCCAACATGTTTCTAACAAAATTTTCAGCCCTTCTTCACGCATTTAATTCAAGATGTGGAAAAATTATCAACACCTGATTGTCCTGATAAAGTAAACCCTCTATTTTTTTTAATGTTGCAGTACAACAAACTTCTTCTCGAGACCGGACAGAAAGCCTGTGGAGCATATGCTAGTACTATCTTCCAACACCAAATTCCAGTAAAAAGAACTTTTTTGAGGAATGTTCAATACTGTACACTCTCCGAGTAGAAATTTCCTAACTAAAGCAGGCACAGTCTGAAATTTCTGATTGTAAAAGTGAACGACTGGTTCTTGTAGCACAGATGGAAGCTTAGAACAATGATGAATATGCTTCCAAGCGGTTCCATGCATCATCCTCCCAGAATGAAGAGCTCGGAGCAACTGATGGTATGGATGACTGAGGAAGTTTCTTCAAAAGATCATCACTCAGTTTTTCGAACAATGATAAAAAAAAGCGAGATGGTCAGAAAAGCAAGATCAAATGAGTTCTAGGCAGATCTGATGTGCAAATCGTTTCCAAGCATTCACCTTAAAAATCTTGTAACAAATCATTCAGCATAATAAACTTTTTCTGAAGTTCTAAGAAGTTTGTTGTAACAAGATTTTACCATACTTCAAGTTTACAACCGCAAACTAACGTCTTGTGTATCACTAAATGCGCAAAAAACAAAGCAGGAACATTACTTGGTTTCCATACCTTCCACAACTTGACGTGATCTGTTTCGAAATCCAAATCGGCTGTGCCATCTTCCTTAATGGGACCAAGAGTTCCATCACCTCGATCTTTCAGTCCAACCGGAGTATGGATTAGATACAAATCAACGTAATCCAATTTCAGATTGCCGAGAGACTCGCTCATAAACTTGGTAACGGATTCGGGACGATTTCCGATTCCGGGAAGCTGGCCGGAAGTGAATCGATGAAATGACGTCAACCGAAGGGAAATGGAACAGTGATCATCTTACTTTAGTGACAACGAATAAATCATCTCGACGCAATCGTCCAGCCTTCGTCCATTTTTCCAGAACTTCTCCGATGGCGGCTTCGTTTCCGCGCTACGCGTACGCAGTATCAATGTGTCTGTAGCCGGCTTCCAAAGCAGATTCAACGGCAGAACGCACGTCAACGTGGTTCGACTGGAAAAAACGTCATAAATAATTCATTTAGTACTTCCTTCACATAAATCTTTTTCACAGAAAAATAATTAAATGTGGGTATTAAACATGTATGCAGCGCGAAAAAATGGATGCAATTTCTTTGAAATTTCCATCCGAACTTGATCACATTGTTTGTCCATCAGTTTAAATAAATTTCTCAGTTTACATGACCTAAAACTTGAAGCATTTCACACATCACACATACAATACAGTGTTTATTTTGGTTTTTTTTTTCAATTTGTCATTCTCTCTCAGGAACCCACAGAACAGCTGTATGAACCAACGATGATTCTGGGACGATGCACGAGAACTGAACTTTTTTCCTTTAATCCTCCATGGCAGCGAAATTGGTTCAAGTACTTGAAATCAAATCATCTTCAATCCCTTGGTCGGAAAACTTTCACCAACTTTCGCTTGGAATACGGCGTGAAAAAGTGAGACACACGGCGGGCGAAAATCAGACATCTGTCGTTACGCGAAATACGCAGTCGTCACAACTCCCACGAGTCAAATTAATTTTGCAGACCTTGAACGGGAAAAAAATTAAAAGCCAAATTCAAGACGCACTCTGAGGACGTCCTGCATAATCTAACAGAAACAATTCTCAGAGTAGGTCGAAAAGTGGATTCTAAAATGGTAATATCGTCTATCGACCTCAATCTATGCATGAATGAAAATTTATCGTTTCCAGCACATTTCAACAACTAACCCAAACAGAGGCCAATTTCAATTAAGTTTCGTATGAAATCAACGTTCCGAACAGCATTTCTACTGTTCATTCATTCCACAATAACGTGTATTCGATAAAACTCAATGGTCAGTCGCCTGCATTTTAGTTAGAACACGTTTTCAACGTATCTTGGTGAGTGGAATATTATCAAAGAACGTTTAACACAATCAAGTATTCATCAATTGAACAGAGTACTTTCTTGTAAAACATCCCGTGAACCAGCATTTCGCCGTCAAATCTAAGAAGCAACTATATTTATCATCCAGTCGTAATTTTTAATCAGACTTTCGATCTGATAAAAACCGGAATAAATTGTGCATTACACTCCCTTACAACGGTACGGCAAAATTTACGCTCAAATAATCAAACAAGAACGTACAAGCCATGTTCCCAGTCCAATCATGGGCATTTTGGCTCCATTCCGAAGCGTTACACTCGGGATTATCACCGACATGACCACGGAGCACAGCCTGTCGACTATAGAAACCATAGTATCATTATCAGCGAAATTATTAAACATGTAAACACTTGCAAATACCAGTCGTTCGATCAAGCGCTGAAGAATACACATCGATTTCCGTCGAACCTCGTGTCCAAGGAGGAGGAGGATTGAAAATGCAATTCACTGCATTTATTTTAAAAGTGATGAGTCGCCAAGTATCGCACCAATCTCAACTACAATACTAACTTGCAATTCAGATGAGTCGGGGCAACTTAATTAGGAGTCACATGCAATTAAGACTAACTGCTCACGCATTATGCATACTGCTCAATGAGCTATTTTTCTTGCAACGTGTGCACGAAAACAAGAATAGAAAATGGGGTTCAATCAAAATCACGGATTGGTAAACAAATGTAAGGATTTTCGCGCTGAGCAACGAATAAAGCCTCAAAACATACGAAGAAACTATCAATGGATAACACTACTCAAAGTTTTTAAGGAATTACTGTACTGAATTGCTCAAGGTACTTCATTCATACGAAAGATACACGATCAAATACCCGTTGGAATGAAAATCCAGCTTTTGCCTACAGTTCCTCTTTTCAAAAAACTGCATTTCCCTTCATGGGAATAAGGAGTCTAAAGGGGAACTCGGATTTCATATTTCCATTACAATTCTCAATTTCCCTTTCAATGACAAAGCTCCATCAGCACTTCAACGGATACTGATACGGTACAGTGAAAAACGACAATGTGAAAATAACGATACAAATGACTTCTTCTCAATCACACGCACAGAAAATGACTTTCTTGAACGATGGCGTTCGAAGCAACAAATAATTTAACCTTCATCCCGGAAGGAAAAAATTTCGGAAAACCACGGTCAAATCCTAGGACAGGAAATAAGCAACAGCTTGGATTTCTGCACCGATTTCGAACCCGAGCTTTTACGCTCTTGAGACCTGTTCAGTTCACGCATCATTCAAAGTAATAAGCTATTCTTTCCAGCAAAAAAGATCCCTTGCGTTTCCGACACCCGCACGCGATCTTTGTTATGGTGGCTTTACTCTATATCCAAAAATAAACGCCTAAAAACCTGAATCAAATAAAATAAAAAAATCGGGTCAATCGATACCGTGTAAAACTCTTCAAAGGTAAAACTGCGACGGTTCGTGCAACAAAAGTCCGGTCTCCCCAAAATAAATCCACACTGCGGCGTCAGTGGAAGATTAAATCCAGATGAATCAAGAACGAATTCCGACTTCTAATTACATTCTTGCCCCTTACAGATCGCATGCAGGGCTCACACCCGAACATGTTAAATTACCACGCTCAAAAACCCGAAATGCACAGAAAATAGGCATTTTAACTATCCCAAGTTTCAATCCGAATCCTCGTCTCCATCCGTGGAGTATTCCGAAGCATACGCATCTTCTGTCGCAAGTTGGTGACAGCCACACACAAGAGGAATTCCTTCACCGCCTGCAGCTCCTCGGCCAGGAGTAGGTCGGCGGTTGAAACGTCTCTGGGCCACATGCGTCGTCCCCGAAGCCCCTTGGACACCAGTAGTTCGAGCTTCATCACTAGCGAGCGGACCTTCGACACTGAAGTTTTTGATTCGCCTATGCTGGCGAATGTTGTGCATGTTCTGCAGGTAGTAAATTCGTATGGCTCCTTTCACGGCAATAAAGGTGAGTCCCCCCTGAAAAAAAAACCAACGTAAGATACCGCGAATAAAAATAAATCTACTGAAAATAGGAACATAAACTTGAGGATACCAAGTAGCAGTAAAGAATGACGATTTTTCCAGTTCCAAACTTTTTTGCATGTTTTATGCAGGATTTGATGCTTTCGTATCAACTGCGGTTTCTTCATTAGCTAATATTCAATGTTGAGTAACTGAATTCAATCGGATTCGTGTCGATGAATTTCGAATGTCACATTACGAAAAATTCAATGCGGTGGAAAATACTGGATTTTTGATAGTAGGAGCATTGCATATTCTAACTGATATTAAATAAATCGATAATAATTTCCGCGCGATTATTTCTTTGATTGCCCACCCCAAAATGAGCACATTGCATATTTAACGCAAGGAAACTCGGAAAAACGCATCTTTTGACTGCAAAATAAGTCACAAGCGCTGCCCTAACGTGTTCGCGAAGCATTTCGTCTGGTTATGAATTAGCAATGCAACAACTTTTTGATCACAGCTGAACGTCAAAACCTTGTTGACGAATACTGACCGCGAATAAACATTGCGAAGTCCTGAAAATTGTTTAAGAATAAGACGCTATGCTTCCAAAGGCACTTTCCGTTTGATTGATTGATATAAACTTGAGGATGTTGAGTAGCAGTGAAAAACGACGCGTAGTTTTTCAAAATCCATGGATTCAAAAATTTTTCGACGGGATTCTCCACGGAGAAGCACAGATACACTCAGTTCAGTACAATTAATCACTTCAATTTAAGTCAAACAATATCCGAATGAACTTTATAACTCACGTAAAGGCAACGTCGCCAATTAGACTGCGTTTTGGAGAAAAATGCCTTCCCAACGGCGGAGCTAATTGCAGGTAAAAGCAACGCAGAACACATTATTCGAAGCCCGGAGTGCAACGCACGGAACAGTTGATCGTCGTTTTGATTAACTGCATTATTAGCGCCGTTCTGCCCGCCGACGTTCACCAAAGCGCGCAGACCGTTCTCTTCATGATTTCCAGCCTGTCCATTCGAGGAAGAATCAAGAGTGATTTTGAGGAAAAGTTACAAGATCAGCTCAACATGAGGACTTTACCTGTCTCGGGGGTACGTCCAAAAATGGTCTCGCACGAAATGGCCTCGGACTGAAACCCGGAATCAAAAAACCCAGCACAGGAACTCGTCTTGTCACAGCTTGCAATCCACTCAGGACGGTTTCTTCCCACGGGATTAATTTTCCCGCGACAAGAAATACCGGTATGGTAGGTAGGCAAATTAGCAAAGACATCGGTTCAGCTTGCTCCATAATTTCCAATGCTTCAGCTTGACCAAAAACTTGCATGAGCGACAGAGCTCCGAACGACACAGCCGCCCAATACAATGAACCAGCCAACATTCCCATTGCGATGTATGGGCATGTTTTTGTAACGATGTGATCGACGGAATCCAAGAAGAGTACCGGCAAGCCTGAAACGCGGTGAGTAAAACAGACAAGATCAGCTTGAATTTCGTCCAGTCACATGACATCTACAGTCCAGATACAGTATTCCCAAAATTCCCATAGCCGCGAGGAAAGACGCATATACGGGAAGCAAGTACAATACTTCATTTTGTAAGCGTGAAGAAAATGGAGGATGAAGTAAGAAATCGCAACTCAACAAGAGACTCACTCATCTGAGGGAAGAGAAGAACATACGGCGTCTTGCATTGGGGACATAAGACGCGTCGAGAAGTATCATGGCCAATCCGTGTGTCGATGTACATCTGCAAGCATTTGTCATGCACCCACTTCATTGATCCACGACACTGACATGGATGAATCCAAACCGTTCCAGGTTCATCATCTTCCTCGGTTGCGTAACAGATCCAGCATTTCAGAAGTCTGCAGATTGAAAATTCGCAGAAACTACATGATAGGAGCACAGAGCCATGCATAATCGGAGAGAAACGGCAGGGAAATTGAACAGCTGGCAAACTCATCCTCTGGAATGTGTGATAAAACGTACGAATCATCAGTATCTCCAGTTTCAGACTCCTGAGCTTGGACATTTCCTTGAATTGCAGCCGTACTCATCGGAGAGGATGCCGGTTCGTCATCTCGATTTCCACCAGGAAAACGAACAACAACTCCTTCATTGGGTCGGAAGCGATATCGCGGAGAAAGTTCAATGCTGTCACCCATTCGAATTATTCTTCAATACTGTTATTACTTCAGGCAACGAAAAAACCGTCGGACGTCATTTCGAAACCATTCCTCGCTATACAGTGAAATTTCGAAGTCACCTGAAGAATTCCAAATGAAATACAAAAATTACACACGCATCCCCGAGGAAAGCACTCCTTAGACCGCGAAATTACACAAGAGACCTACTACGTAAAATGAGGCAAGAAAAGGGGCGCTATTCAGCTTTAGCTATGTCAGCAGGCGCAATCAAGTCGTAAACGTAACAGTTCTCTGGGGAACTTCATTCGCAACTTACAAAGGAGATGAGGTCATATATATTCCAAGACCGGTCTTCCTGAGATCTCGTGCGCTTGGGAAGTGAAACAAGCACATGACAGAATCAGAAAAGCGCACAACAATAAAAGAGAAAATGAAGGAAGACTTCCCACACACACACATGGAATTTTTCTTCTGAACAATAACGGGCATGCCATGACGCGACATTATGGTACAACTTCCACTCAAGCAGCTCCATTCAACACTACCTCTTCCACGCCACCCCTAGGAGCCCCAGCCTCTCATTGAGTGACTTCAACTGTAATGCTTTAGTGGTGTAAAATGTAAACCAAGACTCCAAAGGACAAATAACATAGAGCACATATAAAACACCTTTTTTAAATAGCTAAAAATATATGGTACTTTCCTGTTATCTCTGTACCTCATTCCTAGACCACACTACCATCCAGACAAATCTTAGGACAAATTCATATTCACAATGACCTACCAGAAACTGAATTTTATTTTTCTGCAATCTGCTGAAACTGATGTTGGGAGGCGGTTAGGTAAAGTTAGGTTAGGTCAGGTTATGTTAATTAAAAGATATTTGATATTTGGGAGGCAGTTAGGTAAAGTTAGATTAGGTCAGGTTATGTTAATTAAAAGATATTTGATATTTGGGAGGCAGTTAGGTAAAGTTAGGTTAGGTCAGGTTATGTTAATTAAAAGATATTTGCAACTAACATAACATAACCTAACCTAACTTTACCCAACTGCCTCCCAAAATCAGATAAAAATAATTACAGTATTTTCTGGTCATGCTTGGAAGTCATTTGCACAAATCAGCAGTAGTGATGGAATACCTTTGAATGTGTTTACCACTTTTGGCAACCACTAAACACTTCTCATAAAATAACAAGAATAAAACATTAAGAATGCTGCAAGTTCATGTATTGAATAGTATGCTATCTTCTTACACCATTCTTCAACATGTAATTCCTATCTGCAAGCATACGCAGTTCATGAAGTCACGCATTCGTGGCGCTGAGAGAGGGAGTGGAAGGAACAGCCCTATAGGGGGGCAGCGTGGAAGTGATTTGCGTTGAGTTTGAAAGTGTACCATAATGGCATTTACCAGGTACCTCACTATTGTTCCCAAGCGCATGGCCATTTTTTACTCCTGCTGCCCTCTATGTGTACTTTGCTTTCCTACAGTTCCCAGTGAGGCACATTCTTGCCGGAGCTGGATGGCACGCTGTCAGAACTCCTCACCCCTGCGCCCCCCCATCCCCTCACGCCCAGCACTCAACACTCTCTCTCCTGCGGTTGTGCATGAGTGACTTTAAGAATCAGGAATATACCCTTTATGTGGGAAGCGGTATAGCAAGTGTACACACAAACCTTGTTTTTTCAATTCCTTACTTCACAACATTTAGTCTTTGAAGAATGCTCATTAAGCATTAGCAAGTTAATAAACACCATCTGAGATCTGATCATAATCAGGAAATGTGTAATGAATTATTTTGCTTTAGTTGCCTTGTCCAATCCTTGCAGTGGTCAGTAAAAATTATAAAAACACGGAAGAAGTAAAAACAATGAAATACAAAAGATATAAATGTATGAGTCTTAGCCTTTGGTGCAAGTTATTGTTGCTGAATGAGAGGTTGCCCCATGTGAATTTCTCGCTGTGCAATTTGCCATTAGGGAAGAAAAAAATTGTTTTTGCCTTTTTGCATGAAAGGGAAAATCTCCGTGATTTTTCTCCAAGTGCCTGGACTGTTGGAAAAGTTGGGAAAAAGAAATCATTTATTGAAATAAAGATAGAGTAAATGAGTAGATAAATTGAGTTAAACATTCAAAAAATTTGCAATCAGCACAAGAGAAATATTAACCAATGTTGGATGGAAATTGGAAATTTTTTATTCAAGTTAGCATACAGTTTTTTATTTGTGGCAAATTTATTTCAAGCTCTGCATTGAATTTCTTTATAAAGTATCGCACCAAAATTCAAAGATCATATATTTATAAATCAGAGCTGTGTGATAAGGAAAATGGCCTCATTTACTGTTAAAGAGGCCATTAAGAAATGAATATGTAAGAATAAGAAAATTCTGCCCAGTGGATCATCATGAAGAGTTTTTCTTTTGCCTTTTCTGTAGTGGAATACTTTTTCATGTAATTATTTTGTAGCCTTATTGGGGCCAAAGTGGATAATGAAGAATATTTTTCTCTTAAATTACTGCATTTCAAAGTTTTTAGCAGAACAAAATTTTAATTAAAACAGATTGACAAATCAGCTTGCAGTACTAGAGTGAATCCAGTTGCATAGGTGGGTATGTTATTTACGCAGTGTAAAAACAGGATTTTTATTCTTGTCCGTTTTTCACTGAGTTATTCCAATGCTGGTTCCCCATCCTGCGTCCCCAGAATGCTACCGCAAAAATCCCCATTTCAGAGACAAAAATCTGGGGGTCAGAAGGCCAGGAGAAGAGCATTTTTTGCGGATTCTTTTTTAGGGTTTGAAAGGGTCAACCAGGCAGGGACAATGAATGGAATAGGGGCTTATGGGGATTAGGGCGCCAACTTGTGGAAGGCGCCATCACCCGTATGCGGCGTACCGGAGATGGACCAAGTGGGAAACCATGCCAAGAATAGGACTAAAACCTTTTCAAGCCTTTGCGGCGCCACAGTTTTGGCAAGACCCAGGCTTACCAATGGTACTTCAGTAAATATTTGTGGTAAAAATGGGCAATGGGCTGCCTCAAAAATATCCCAGAGCCCAAAAATCCTGTTTTTTTTTATTTTTTGGAATTCTGATGCTGATACTCCAAAAATCGGGTCATTCAGACCATGGGGTCTGAATGACCCAATTGTCTGGGTTTTTCTTTTCCTGCAGAAAAAAAAAACGGAACTACAAAATCCCCGGAGTCTGATACTCCCATTCGAATATTGAAAATGCACATCCATTCCCCCCAGTGTCTTGAACTGGGCACTTCAGGTTCCTGTGTTTAGCAGGAGGCAATACAACTTCCCCATTCTTTTTTTTTACGTAAAGTTGTGAAAGTTTTCACGTACACTTTCACAACTTCATTATGTACCCTGTTTTCATTGCTTCCAAATTACTTGTTTTGGGACCAGTGGGATTTTGAAAAATCCTGGGGGTATTGGACTTCAGGGATTTCTCAGTTTTGTTTCTTTTTTCTGTGGAATTTTCAGGTCTTCAGAATTGTTGGAGCATTGGACTTTGGAGCTTTACCTGATGTACTCTATCAGAAAAATTATTGGTGAAGTAAGTTTGGTAACTTAGGGGGTATATGGAGGTCAAAATTCCCAGACATGTTAAGCCATTTTAAGAGTCTTGGTTGGTTTTCCACTTGGCTGGTTTTCCAGGTACCCCAGGAGCCAGCAGATGTTGATGTCAAAGGGCCTATAGCTTGATTTTTTTGCAGGTACCAAAGATCCAACAGGAAATAGCCAAGAACATTTAGGGCAAAAATTGGCAATCTGCTCCTTGAAACTCCCATGAAATTGATACCAGTTCACCTTGCTGTATGACATATCCAGTTTCTCAGTAACAAATCTCAAATTGGACAGTGCATATTCCATATATTCTTACATACCCAATCATTCAAAAAAATATTTGAGGGACAGCACTGGTCAATAAATGCATGAGAAATGATTTGACAAACTGCTAGTCTCAAATATGAAGTTAACCATAAGAGTCAATTGAAGGAGTCTATATGCGAGATGGACCAAAAAAAATTATGTACCAGGTTTAACGGACATATTTAACTGTGAACCAAATACGTTTTTTTCTACATGGGTTTTGAGTCATTTTGGGTCTTTTCTATATAAAAAAAGCCACAAGAAATGCTTAAAAGCTTAAAATTGACTGGTTTCATGCTTCATGACATCCAAAGATTACTATATCTGATTTTTTCACATCTTTTGTGGAGAAAAAAAGCAGAGCTATCCACTGGATTTTTGGTGGATGGACTTCTCGCCGGAGCTCACATGTGAGCTGCCAAATTTACGCTGCTCCCCCTTCCCCCTGCCTCACTCCCTGAACCCATCACTCTCTTTTTGAAGAAAAATCATGAGAGACTTCAGAAGGCCTGTTTGAATAGGTTTAAACAGTATAATAGGAGAAGTACTATCAACAAATATAATTAATATTCATTTTTATAAACCTTATGGATTTACTGAAGGTTCTCTTTTCATTACTCTGATTATAAAAGTTGAGTACATGCAATGAGAAATTGTCTGAATTTTGATAGTACTTCTCCTACTACACTGTTTATACCTATTCAAACAGGCCTTCTGAAGTCTCTCATGATTTTTCTTCAAAAAGAGAGTGATGGGTTCAGGGAGTGAGGCAGGGGGAAGGGGGAGCAGGGTAAATTCAGCAGCTCATATGTGAGCTCCGGCGAGAAGTCCACTCACAGGATTTTTATAGTAAGTAAATAACACAATTCCAAGCATTTGAAAATCATGTTCCATTGTGAGTTCTATGATGCACTGTCACATTTGTCACATTATCTACCGTGGCTCCATGATGAAATCCAGTTGGAGAAAAATATCATGTGAGGCCAACAACCCTGTAAGCCTAAAAATCTTGCAGGGTAAAAAAATACCGTAGGTACAAAAATTGCAAGTTTTACAAAATTGTAACCTTGTCTCTGGGTTTTCCTTCCAAACTGTCAAGAAGGAATAAAAATCTGGTAGATTACAAACTTCTGAAAGTGCCAGGGTTTGGGAAGTTTAGGAATTATTGTACCTTTCTCAATAGAGCCTCAACTTTACTTCCTCAAGAGTAAAGTGATGTATTTTCCAAATGGAGCCTTTGTCCCTGCATTTGTACAGAT